CATGTAAATATTGTTCCTCTTTTTTTCCTCCATCCACCTAGGGCAAGAACAAAAGTATGAGAGGTGGGAACCACAACAATTCACGCAGTGAGGGTCCAGTTGACACTCGTATGCATCATGGTCTTTGCCATCACAACAAAAACATGTCAAAGATCCATGACAAGATGCCTCTGAATGTCCAGATCACTGACACTGGAAACACCTGAGAGAGGATTAGGAATATAAGTTCAGATAACATGCCTTGACAGTGGCAGGCAGATGTGGCAATGTAAACATCAATACAAGAACATTGGTAGGCAGCATAATTCCATATTTAGGAGTAGAGATATGTTGCAGAGCAGAAACTGATTGGCTGGAGAAACCAACAAGGATCTCCAATTCTGGGATGTTTTTTAAGTCCCTTGCAATGATAACTCCTCATGAGAAATTCAAAATAGCATGGGAAGTAACCTTGATAAGTATATCCCCAATGGCCCTGGATTTCAAGAGGAGCTCACTGTGTTTTAACATAGATGTTTCCACCAAGATATTCCCAGAACATAGCTTATTAAATAACTTCAGAGAGCTAGCAAGCCCCTCTAATCCCTTCTGAATAAAAAGAGACATTTGACCAAAATGTTTGCCAGACAATGAATGTAGAATATAAAAATGAGGTACAGAAAGAGAATGGGTAGTGACTGCTGTTCACAGTCTTCCAAACATGGTCACTTTCCTATCAATGAGTTTTTGTATCTTTTTTTGAAGCACTGGGTGCAGCATCCATAAAAATGGAAAAACTTCAATGCCCACTGACCCCACCCACCATGAAGCCCTATGAGGGGATGCACTAAAATACTACACATTGACAATGTTAGTATGACATGATTTCATGGGCACTATACCCAAACACCAGCATTAGAAACATTGCCCACAACACCTGTTAAGAACATCCAACACTGGCACTTTGTTCACCCTAACCCAACAGGACCAGGACCGGCTGGCTGACCTAGGGAGAGCTACTCCAAGGACACCCGTCTACAGGAATTCAAGGCCAAAGTCATATGTTGAAGTGCCACAAATATAAACTGACCCATCAATGACACCCCTAAACCACCAGGATCCTCTCCTCTTCTTTATGGGACACCACACAAAAAACATATGGGTGGATTTTCAGATCCAAGAGGAGGTAAACTGAAAATACACAACCTTCTCTGGGAGGTCCCTTCACCACATACAGGAATCCACCTCGAGAGGTTAAATGCATGGAAATGACACCTATAATACCAATAACCATATTGTTTAAAGTTAAAACAAATGTCTTTTCATTTTTCTTTGTGGCTCCAGATATCTCCCCATCTGTAACTTCAGTATAGATGAAGTCTCAGGTTTGAGGTGTTTCTGACACCTGGTTGGCAACCATTCAGGCTGAAACAAGTTGTCATATAACATCTGCAGGAGTGTCACTATCTGCTGTGCTTTCCCATAACTTAGGGTCAGCACATTTGGGTGCTATGTCTTTGTTAGAGCTACTGAAACTTTATCTAAAGCAGCAAGTTTCTTTCTCTCCATCATCTTAGTTCTAGCTACTACCTCAAAATGTGTTGCCACTAGCACAGTTTCAGACATACTCAATTTCTGATGCTCAAGTGATGTAGTTTGGACTAACAAAGGAATATCTCCACAAAGTTAACAACCAAAATGTCTTCTCAGTTGTTGCTATCATGCTGGGGTATGTTTTACAGTGACAACCTGTCACCTCATCAACATACACTGTTAAGTATGTGGTAACCATATTTACGAGCCTTAAATATCATCCAGTAAATGACCCTATTCACTATCCATAGCACCTAATAATGGACCATATAAAATAAATATCATTTGTTACTGGGTTCTGGAAGTCTTAGTAACTGCTTGGCAAAACAGTTTAATCTCCTTGCTACAGGCTCAGTCAATGTGACCGACCTTGTAACTCTAAAGTAACCATCAGAATTTCCACACTATAACTTTTTATACATTTCGTGTATTTTCATGAAATTTGGCAAGCTTTCAGTGAACATTAGAAGTCTTTTTCTATACAAAAAATCAGATTTTTAATTATGTATTTTTACTAAAACTTTGTTCGTGAATATATGGAGTCAGAGTGTTGACTTCTCTGAGTGCAAAGTGATTTTCATAATAAGATTTAAAATAATTTTCTTCATCTGAAAATTGTCAAATTTCATTTGCATAATCTCTAAAATCTCCCAAATAAATATCAAATGTTTTTTGGTTTTTGATTATAGCAGTTATGCCAGTTATAGCAAGAGTAAATTTACATTGTTTATGTCATTCTGTGTAAATGACAGTAGAGCCAGTATGAAAGTCCATTGACTCTTTTCTAATGGAGGCCTCAGCATAGCCACATCTTCTTGGACTTTCCACTATTATCCTCAATCTCAGCTGATCTGTAAGACTGTGTCTCCCATTATCAGCAGTCCTAAATGGAGCAGTTCACAATTTCGACTTCTTGATTGTTAGAAACAGTGTAAAGCTCAGCAAAGCTTTTCTTAGAGCATCCAGCATTCAATTGAGGACTTTTTCAAGTTAATTGAAGGTCCTCTTATTACACCTTCACATGAGTTCAACTCTTCTTATCTCTGCTAGTTCTTGCCAAGAAGCAGAAAAACCTTTTGGGAAATATTTCACAAGGAGTATAAAATACAAAAAAACATTTTTTTGTGGAACTGAAAACATAAATAATTAGCTTCTAGTCAACATCAATAACATTTCATATTGATCAAAGTAAGCTGTATTAATTCAACAACAAATCTAGCATAAACATTTCAAAAAATGAATGAGAAAGTCAAGAGATTTTTGACATTACTTGATCAATAAATATTCAACCTAAGCTAAACAAATGAAACATAAATATTCCAATATTTGTATTTTACTTTAATTTTTACAAACCTTTTGAAAAGGCAGAATGTAGAAAAGACCAGAAATGTCTTTGCAGTCATCAATTTGGTCACCAATAAATGGGCGCCTTCTTTCACTTTTAGCCTTTGTAATGCAATTTGGAATGATTCTGAAATACAGTTTTAGTTTATGTTTGAAATAAAGTAAAGAGTAACAGTTTACATACTTACAAATAATCAAGTGAATCAAAAATTACAGTTTCAATAAACTATGTACAACAGAAATAACTATTAAACAGGTATAGTAACTCAAACTACAAAAATTCATAATCACAATTTGTAACATAAATATGAAGTCCAATCTATTATTCAATTCACCTTCTATCAAGTTGAACTGGTTTCAGGGAATTCCATTCCTTATCACTATTTCAAACTAAAGTGAACCTACAGCTATACTGGATGTGAAGAATATGTAACATTTATGCTCCAAATTTATTCTTCCAAATTAATCAGCAGACAAGCTATTTAAGATAGTGATAAGGTGTGCAATCCCCTGAAACTGGTATAACTCAGTGACAAAAGGTGATTCATATGGTAGATCAGACTTCATATCCATTGTTGATACCTTAACTCTTTCTGTACAGATTGGACAATGTGATCAACCTTTTAACCATAAAGTAAGCATCAGAGAGAATTATAGGCAATTTGTGAAAGAGGATGAAAGATATTTTCTAGTTTATGACTTTGTACACAAAGAAGATTGAAGGCTATAAAATTAGACTTTGCTTTAGTAATATCTATATTATAATGAGAAATTTACGTTAAACTCTCTACTTAAGAGAGGGGTGGTAGGTAAATTAGATAAGAGAAAAAATCTAGAGAACAAATGTTACAATTCTTTTAAAGTGGAAAATAAACTAAACAGGCCACTCAAAGCAGGTTGCAGATTATTCACTGAGTAACATAACATTTTGACTTAATTTTTGTAATTCTTAATCTTAATATTGATAAATAAATAATGTTATGATGTTTTGAGTTATCTTTTACTCACTAGATTGGATATGTTTATATAGGATATGAAGTATACAAAGCAATGATGCTACTAATTTATTCTTCTGAATTATTCAACAGACAATCTGTTGGACTCTCTCACTATGAGTAGGTCAAAGTGTGCATGCCATGACCTTTTACAGAGTTACATTAAAAATTAAGTCAAATTACCTTGTTATCAATATGTATTAATAAACTGACCATCAAAATGGAGTTAATAAACCATATTTTAATATTATATAAGTTTTAATATTTTAATTTTATAAAGAAATATACGAATAAATCCTCAATCTCCCCTAGTATGTGTAACAGCTATATTTTATCCAATAAAATGTTCTACATAAATCTTTATGATGAAACAATTATTCTTAAAATAGAAAAATAAAACATTTCACTTACCAACTCAAAACTGTAAATATATACTGTAAGAGGTATGTTTCATTCAATAAAGAGTTCTAATTACATCCTGTAGGATGAAACACAGCTGCACTTAAAACAAAAAATAATCCCCATATGCCAACTCAAAACTGGTTGAGGATTATTTATTACATTATTACAATATGTTATTCCATTTTATGAAAAAACTGCTACATTACTGATTCAACGCTTAAAATCATAGTAAGTTTAATGTTAAACCTGAACTTTTCTATTGAGCCTGAAAGTTCAAACAGTTATTCAAAGTATAACAAAACAAAAATCCTATGTTTTAACTCCACTAATGTTTCAGTAATGGTCAGCTTAAATCAAGAATATGTACTCGTAAGGAAGTACACAAGAATTAATTTTTACTCATACAAAAAGTACTTGATTTTTTAGAACAGCTAGAAAAATATAAAAATGACCTTGTAATAGCACAACCTTTCAGTTTATAAAAATTTTAAAAGATACATGAACTACAAAGACCACTCTCAAACTTAACACGTAACAATCATACAACACAACTTTATTATCAGTAGAATCATTTGATCTCTACACGGACATTAACCTATTAACCATGTTCTATAAACTAAAAATAAAAAATGCTTACATTTCCAAAGTTACACTCAAACTTACACATGCCAAAGTTATTAGTGGTGGGAAAACCATTAATTATACTAGACATTGGTAACTTTCTGTCCTTAACCTAATGCTTGGTTAATTTTTTCATGACTGAAAGTTGATCATTTTCTGTCCTAAACCAAGTGCTTGTGATTCTGTTAATCAGTGAATATAATAAATTCCTGTTAACTACCCTTTAGAAAATATTTCTCAAGTTACATTTATTCAACCTTCATCCTCATTTTTTTGCTATTTTAAACTAAGTCAGTTTTTATTGTTATCTACCTGAAAGATTCTTGTTCTCTTTCATCTACAATTTTCTGTTAATAAAGAGCACCGTATTCTTTAAACACCAAGAGTAACCTTATCACTTGATATAATATTCAAACCACATTTCCACCAGAATCCTTGAAATCCATGAATAATTCAACTTTACAGGTTGATTACTACACATGTACTCATCATTGTATATCAGAAATCAAGCCACTTAAGTCTCTTTTTCATCTGAGCATCTGTTAACAAGAAAGGGTAATACTGGAACAAAAGTCATAGTAGCAACTGCTTATTTAAATGATAAACAATGGTTTTTTTAGCTTAATCCACGTGTTCCAAAAATTAATGCACCAAAAACATTTGCATCTTATTTTAGAAGTTTCATTCAAATGCCTATTATTTGTTTGCTCAAAATGAATGGAATCTTGCCATTTTGTTGATATAAATAGGTTTCATTATGTAAAAATGACTATACATAACTCTATGACCTTTCAACTTGAATCTGACAGTTGTGAAAATGAGGTTCACCCCGAACCACATATATCAGTCTGGACTTATGCTTTGTCACATCCTCTATGATCAACTATGCTGGTTAGTCATATATTAGCAAGTTTTTAGAACATAAAAACTCAATACAAGTGTAATTTTCACTATTTCATTACAATTCATCTCAAAATGTGTCAAATATACTGTTTACTGATTTTAAGAAATGTTAACCTCATATTCTGAACTGTTTGTACACGTGTGAAGCACCTGCACATTGATCATAAATATTCATCAGTGCTATAAATAAATATATATATGGACTAGATCTTTGTTCAAAGATATCTTATGTATCTCACCAGAAAAACTGCCTAACTGATATTTAAAAGTGACCTGTATAGTGTGTGAGTTGTAATTTGTAAAACTACTGTTTTCTTAAAAATTATGATGATTTTTTAAACAGATTTTGAAAATATTACTATCAAGTTTAATTCATACAGATTGTAGAACTGGTTTTCATTAAAATATTTTACAATTCTTAATATTTATATTTATTTTGTTAGTTTGAAGTCAGATTTGAATAAAAAGTTAATTCTGACTGGTGAGGTATAGATTGTATAGGCTGCAGAGTATAGAGCATATTTTGATAAATGTAAAACTCCATTCTCTTAATAAATCAGAAAATAGTAACATTATATCATCTTCAATTTTTATTTTCTGAATAAATTTAATCAAAAATTGTTAATAAAAAGATAAAGAGTACAAAATAAAAAGCAAGAGTTAAAGAGTTTAATATAACAGAAAATATCCTCAATGTTATTATGAGCTTTAAAGTGTGTCTCAAATTAAGTTATTGTGTGCATATTTAAAGACAGAATTTGCACTTGTAGTAGTAGTGAAGTTTTTGATTGTATGCCTTTAGTTGACTTGTTCGATGTCAAGCCCTTACGTTGTGTTCAGTATTCTGTAGTTAGGCAGCTTCTTTGGAAATTAAAATGAGATTATGGAAGTATTTCTAAAAAATCAAAATTGTATAACAAAAAAAAACACATTTTGGATTTTTTTTTTTCAAGGCAATGTTAACAACAAAATTTGGACATTTCACAAGATTAAAAATGATAGAAAAACTAAATCAAATTATATAACTCTAAGTCAAAACTAAATACCATTTAAGTATTTAGTACGTTGGTTGTAAGTTTCAAGCAATTTGGTTATTTCTACTGTCAGAACAGAAACAACAAGGGATACCACTCTAAGCATGGTAATAGTAGTTTCGAAACTTACTTCACAAATATGTGATTAAAATTAACACATCCCTAGCCTGGCTGATGAGTCACAAACACAACTTTATAAACATCTTATTATGGCATAGTTCTCGTTTATGGGCTTTCTGATTGGATCAAGTTGCACACAGATGAATGGCACACACATTGTGCAGTGTGCCATTGGTACAAAATGCTGCAACTGATGCTAATCGATGCTTATTGTCCAATGAGTAGATGAAATAACATTGGAAATTAAAAGTACACAACACTGCAGTTTCTTAGATTTTTAAACACTTTTTTTTTTCTCTAAATTCTATATAGATTTTCCAAGTTGTTCAAAACATTCCCAAATATTTCCAGAAGGAGAAACTGTTAAATGAAATTCCCAAATATTTCCTGATTTTTAAGATCGTGTGAGAATCATGACCCTAGATTGCTTTCTTGATAAGCAAGGAATCTTGGGTCAGGTAGATGTTTGAGTTCAGGGTTATTTTATGTGGACTCTAATTCTCCATTTTATTTATTTGTACATGACACAGTAATTTCAGGATATTTTTAAAGTACAATTTGAATTTTACTTTATTTTCCTATATAAAATGTTAATCTTGTACAATTTTTGTATTTCAGCAACTGATATTTGTTGATTATTTTTAGATATCAGTTCACATTCTGTATGTGATCTTGGTTTTTATTTTTATGTACTGGTTTAATGTAGTATTTCAATTTCATTACAAATTTGGATTTATCATACATATATATGGATTTCATATGTTTACTTTGTAAAGTTAAATTTTTTAAAACTTAGTTTTGTATATCTGACTATGTATGCTAAAATTGGAATTCAGAATGGTCACAGCATATGTACATTATGGTATTGATACGGTTTAATTTTAATTGGGCTCCAGGCCAAGCTAAGAAAAATTAGGGTAGAGTTGTTATAATTTCAGTTTTGATTTGAAACAGGACACTTGTTGTTGATCACCTGCAAAGGAAACCTTACAAATATCACTTTTATCTTTTATCATTCCATTATTTTTGTTTTGATCAGCTCTTCACTTCTATTTTTAGAAGTTTTGTGCACAATGAAAACAAAAGTTTCTGATATTTGTGGAACCACCTTTGGTGTTTCTTCACAACAACACCTACAATGAAGAACCAAATCCAACCTCATTTTAATCTAGAATTTTATATTCTTAATCCTGATGGATTACCATATAAAGATTACAGCATCTGGAAGATTCACAGTTTAAATAATTTATCCAAATTAACCTACAATGTCGCAGTGGCAGTGAACTAGCTTTATTGAGAAAAAAAAGTGCATTAACTTCTAAAATTATAAAACATGCTGGTGGGTCTTCATGAAATTAAAATAACTCATAATTTTCAGTTTTCGCCAGGCACTACATTGATATGTGATCAGTTATTGTAAGAAACATTAAAAGTTTCATAATAAATTTTCTTGTATAAAAGTATCTTATTAAAGTTTGGGAAACAGGAAATGTCATGTCATAAAAACTAAAAGTACTGGTTTTCAAAGTTTGTCAGCAATATAAATCTAAGTTCTAGAGAGTGCCATTTCAGAGAATCATTCCCTTTTTGTGGTGTGCATAGTTCACTTTCCTGTGGCCAAGATCATGGCCAGGCTGTTGTTAGCATTTGGTGGCATTGGTAGGTTGGTGTATCTGCATCATACAGCTTAAATCTTAATGTACAACATAAAAATTATAAACGTATTATATACTCTTTTGGTATTATACTATTACTTATAGGTGCTCATATTCAAGGCATACAAATTGTATTACTTTTGTTGCAGTAATGCAAATCATGTTGGTATATATATATATAATAATGTCATAATATACTTATAATGGACAAGTATAATGAATGGTTCAAACAGAACATTTATAATATATACTTGGCAATATATGTCACCAACACAAAAAATATATTTTATTTCTTTACGAGGTAAATTTTCTTAAACACCTTGTTTTTACAGAAAAGGGTGGGGGTGCTTTCATAAGCTATATAATAGAATCACTAATACATTTACTTTGGAAAACTCAGAGAAATAGGGCACAATTAAAACCTTGAACTGAAAATAAATGGGAGGGTAAGGCCAGAGAGCAAATGAGATTCCTAAGTTGTACCAGTTACAACGACTTTTAGTAACTGTGAAACTGTAAAATAATTAATGAATAAGCTGTACGTGTAATGCTGTAACTACTGTAGAGTATCAAACATTTTGTGGCAATGTTTTTAGTTTTAAAAATTTTACAAATATAGGTTTACCTTCCGAATTATATGTTGTTGTTTTGCCTTACTTTCAACAAAAATAAAAGAAACAAATGAAGGGCACGAACATACCGGTTATAAAAGTTTCACTGAAATTGAAACGCCTGACGGAACATACCAAGAGAAATACACTGTTTTGCTTTCCATAACGTCAACTATTTTACAATAACTGGTCAGTACTAGTAGTATATGGTATTAGTAACCAGACACAGCTTGCTCATCTTTCTTAATATTACATTATCAACGAGTACTAGCAAACGTACTACAAAACAATATTCTCACCTGGGTTCTGCTTGGGTGCTGTACCCACATTTTTCTGTATAAGCTCCGTTATCGAGCACAAACGTTTTTACGTCGAGTGCCATTTTAGACCCGAAATATAATAAGTATGATTTAATAAAACAAAAATTTTATTACATGCTTGTTTCCTTAACCTCAGTTAAAAAAGAAGCTCAAAAGATAAAAGCGCCACCTTTACCATCCATGGTTTAGATAAATTTAATTTGATATTTCAGACAGTTGAAATGTGTTTGTGAAATATTTGACTGTTTCATTTTGAAAGTTTTGAAATTGATATCAATGAGGAGTTTAGATTTAACCAAAAAGCTTAAAATATTCAAGTCATATATATATATATATATATATATATATTCAAGCCAAAGAAAAAACATGTTTTCTATGTGGTAATAGCGTTCTCTATGGTGGTTGGACGCACATGCAGAGGTGGTGTTAAGAGAATAGCGCATTACCATGGTATCATATAATAGGCATAATAATATTAATAGAAAATAATTGTGCATATTATCAAGTTAAAATAGAATTTACGATGGTTGAGTCATAGCCCAGTACTGTGTTAGTTAGCGTTGCAGCACGTTTGGAGATAAATTAATGGCCACTAACGAGAATGATTCAGTACCCTTTATCTAACTACGATCGATTTACGAGGGCTTGATAAAGCGAAGAATTCAGTCGATGTATTCTGGATATCTCCGATCGTTACATTAACGTCTGAATACATCCAGTGTCGAACGTCAAACCAGAACAACTAGCCTCAATGTATTGTGGGTGGAACCGCGGAGAAACGAGGGTAAAAATGTTGCCTTCCCATATTATGCTGTTAAGACTATGAAGCTATCTTTGTTGTTTGATATATATTTGACAGTTATTGTCTGTTTATCTTTGAAAGTAAAGTCATATTTTTCGTTAACATCCATTTTCTAAGAAAAAAATATAGGAAACGACACTCGATGATTGCGTAAAATCTATAGTTCTATGATTTTCAGTGGTTACCTGTTAAATTGAGAGCAGTTGACGCGATCTTTTTATTTTTTTCTTCAACGATGAGCTAGTGATAAAGCAAATAATACAGAAATGGGCTCTTTATTGATACGTATAGGTCTAAAGGCAAATATATTAGGTTTAGGCCTACTGGGTCGTCTTAAATATTGTTACGTCTCTGGTCGTTAGTTAATTTTCCGTAAAAATTATTTCCGAAGAAATTTTAGCGATATAAGTCCTTTCTTAAATAAAACTGGTTTATTCTTTCTGAATACAACTTTGCAATACACATAATTTTCACAGTCACGCTATAACTTAAACAAACGCTATAATTCACGACGAACGATTCACGCGCTTGACTCAATTGTCTGTCTCTATCTCTGTCTGCAATTCAGTTCTGTTGTTGCCGTCTTGACGGTCTTATATACAAGAATACCGCACATCTAGTAAACACTCGAGCATTCAAGAACCTTCGAGAATATCATAACGTGTTACTAGCGTCACGTGACTTCCGCTGTCGTAACAATATATTGACACACATCTAAATGAATACTTTTTCTAATTTGTGCGAGTTTCGAGCAAACGCCCTTCGCCAGTCAGTAAAAACCGTGTTACAATGAAATTAGGCAACAATTATTTCTTAGTGCTACAATAATTAGTTAAAATTAAGTCTAGTGGTAAAACAAACGCAATAAAATTGTAAGTGTATATTTATAGTAAAATAAATACAATAATTCCCTGTTCATAGGACCATAGCACTGTTTTACTTTATTTAGGGCAATGGAATGATACTCTTGTAACTTAGTACACAACAGATGTATTCCTAAATATTATTTTCATTTGTAATTTCCCCAAGCGAGAAATAAAGACCCTCTTGCTATACTGAATACAAGCAGCACATCGCAAGATCTGGATTCAACAGCACTTTCCAGAATGTGCTCATTACATTTCACCTCAGATGGCTTCATATTATGCCCTGGGTCTAAGAAATCACGCCTTAAAGAAAATTCTGTGCCATCTATACTCTCCTTGAAGTCCATAAAATGAAAGCGTAAAAAGTCCAATTTTGCGAAATATAGGTAACTAGACAACCCGTAACCCGTTGGGTCACCCACTATTCAGAGGTTATGAAGAATTCAAGCT